CCAGATCTGTCTGTGAACCGGTCTGACAAGTCCTGTGCTGCAGCTGCACTCAGAGAGACTGCAGAGAGACCGTAGAGCTGAGACTTCCACACAAACAAAACAGAAAGACAAACTCTCTACGATTCACTTTGTTTCAATGTGTTTATGTATCACCGCTAAATAACTGCAGCAGTCGTCTCTGAGGACTTCACAAAGTTATGGATTCACCAAAAACAGATGAAAGAATCAAACAGTTATAACACAAAATGCAATAAGGCAATAACAAACACATAAGAGGCATAGAGAGCGGGACTGAGGCTGTAGACCCAGGACTGAGGCTGTAGACCCAGGACTGAGGCTGTAGACCCAGGACTGAGGCTGTAGACCCAGGACTGAGGCTGTAGATCCAGGACTGAGGCTGTAGAGCCAGGACTGAGGCTGTAGAGCCAGGACTGAGGCTGTAGACCCAGGACTGAGGCTGTAGATCCAGGACTGAGGCTGTAGATCCAGGACTGAGGCTGTAGAGCCAGGACTGAGGCTGTAGAGCCAGGACTGAGGCTGTAGATCCAGAACTGAGGCTGTAGACCCAGGACTGAGGCTGTAGATCCAAGACTGAGGCTTTAGATCCAGTTTCAGTTTCAGTTTCAGTTTATTTGCCATTTGCAGTAAAAACACCACATTGGAATACATTTAAGGACTGAGGCTGTAGACCCAGGACTGAGGGACTGAGGGTCCAACACAAATTAATCAGGCTGGGAGAGAGGTGTAGGGTCAGAGAGTGTTTCCTTTGTGTGTGTGTGTGTGTTTGTGTGTGTGGAAGCTGAAGCGATGATGAGGTGGTGGGGAGGAGGAGGGTTGCTGCACACCTAAACTCTAGAAATGTCAGCTAAAATACTTAGCATTTTTCATTTTTATGCCCCAAAAACCTAAAGTGGTTTTCTCTTTGTCACTTTTCTCTCTGAAAAAGGCGATCTAAAGATGTGACAGACGCCAGAAAAACACTTATGTTTAATGAGATATTTCTATTTGATGTGGTTTGAAAGTTGGATATCTCAACTTTATCTTTTGTGTGAAAAGCTGCCTTAAGCCCAACGCACACCGAAACGCCTTGACGCGCGGCAAAAGAGCCGCCTCCTTTATTTTCTATGAGAGAACGCACACCAAGGTTGCAGTGACGCGCGGCGACGCTGGACCGGGCGCCACGATTCAGTTTTGTTGAATCCAGACGCGGCGCCGCGGCTGAAACTGTCCCTCCAAGCACCCGTAGTTTTCTTCTTCTGCGCTTCTTATCACGTAGCTGTGAGCGCGGTCTCAAATTTACACACTTGTCGGCGCTATTGCTCAAGTAAACCGGTCACAATGGACGAGGAAAGCTTGATAACCCAAGTACAGCGTTACCCAGAGCTAGTTATTAGCCTGTTTAAAAAATGGGTCCAAATAGTCTTTTCTTGTAATATTTGCCAGCATAATTTCACGTAAATACTTTGTTTCCTCCCCCAAAATATTAGTAGAAACTTCCAAACGTCACTCACCCATTTCATCTGCGATCAGCTGGAAAAGGACGCTAGCCAAGGCGTTCCGGTGTAATTTGACACATGTCATGAACGCGCGTCAAATGACGCGCCGCGAGGCGCTGCGTTTCGGTGTGCGGTGAGCTTTAGTCTCTGCTTCAGTCTCTGCTTCAGTCTCTGGTTCAGTCTCTGCTTCAGTCTCTGCTTCAGTCTCTGCTTCAGTCTCTGCCTCAGTCTCTGCCTCAGTCTCTGCTTCAGTCTCTGCTTCAGTCTCTGCATCAGTCTCTGCTTCAGTCTCTGGTTCAGTCTCTGCTTCAGTCTCTGCTTCAGTCTCTGCCTCAGTCTCTGCTTCAGTCTCTGGTTCAGTCTCTGCTTCAGTCTCTGCTTCAGTCTCTGCCTCAGTCTCTGCTTCAGTCTCTGCCTCAGTCTCTGCTTCAGTCTCTGGTTCAGTCTCTGCTTCAGTCTCTGCCTCAGTCTGTGCTTCAGTCTCTGCTTCAGTCTCTGCCTCAGTCTCTGCCTCAGTCTCTGTTTCAGTCTCTGCCTCAGTCTCTGCCTCAGTCTCTGCTTCAGTCTCTGCTTCAGTCTCTGCTTCAGTCTCTGCTTCAGTCTCTGCCTCAGTCTCTGCTTCAGTCTCTGCTTCAGTCTCTGCTTCAGTCTCTACCTCAGTCTCTGCTTCAGTCTCTGCTTCAGTCTCTGCTTCAGTCTCTGCCTCAGTCTCTGCTTCAGTCTCTGCTTCAGTCTCTGCTTCAGTCTCTGCCTCAGTCTCTGCTTCAGTCTCTGCTTCAGTCTCTGCCTCAGTCTCTGCCTCAGTCTCTGCTTCAGTCTCCGCTTCAGTCTTTGCTTCAGTCCTGTCCTGGTCCCATCTTTCCCTCTTAAATTAACGGACTCACAGATGAAATGTGTGCATTCCAGACTCAGCGTTTGTGCTCAGAGGGGGAGGAGCATGAAAGGGGAGGAACCTCGGAGGGGGAGGAGCCACAGGGGCAGCTGCTCTCAGTCCAGATGCCTTCACTGACGCCCCGGATAAAAGCCAATTCTGCACATCCTCACGAGCTCACGCCACGGCATGGTCCAGAGACACACAGGGAAACTCTATTGCTTCATGCAACATTTTAAATTACATCTATATCGCTTAACTGTGAATGAAGTTTGATGATTGGATCCGCTGCTTTCTCTCTCTCTGATCTCACTCTGGTTTCACTCTGGTCTCTCTCTGGTCTCTCTCTGATCTCACTCTGGTCTCTCTCTGGTCTCTCTCTGGTCTCACTCTGGTCTCTCTCTGGTCTCACTCTGGTCTCTCTCTGGTCTCACTCTGGTCTCACTCTGGTCTCTCTCTGGTCTCACTCTGGTCTCTCTCTCTCTGTCTCTCTCTCAATTTTCATGTTTAACTACATATACATGTCTTGTATGTGTCCACAGATACCAGGTCACATGTACACAGCACATCTGACCTTTTCTGAACAAAAGTTACTGTATATGTAAAGAGAACACATATAGTATATAGAGTATACAGTATACAGTCGACATGGTCTCACAGGTCATGTTTTGGCTGCTACATATTTTCCTTCATAATTTCCTGAAAAAGAACTATCACCACATATGTGGCCAAATTTGCAGGTGAAAACCAGATCATATCAGATGTTTAAAGCTAAGCAGGACAGGGCCTGATTAGTACTGTGATGGGAGACCCCTGAGAACCCCAGGTACCACAATGGGGCGACTGCGGCTGTAAAGTGCCATACCGTGGTGGTGTCCTTAGGCAAGGAATTTCACCAAAATGATTGATGGCACAGACTGGTTGCCTCACTTCTGTCAGTGCGCCCCAGGGCAGCTGTGGCTACAGTAGTACTTTATCACCACCGTGTTTGGAGTGAAATAATAGTAATAGTAATCTTTATTTATATACCGCCTTTTCACTGCAGATCTGAGTCTCAAAGCAGTTTACAATTGTTAATTTTGGGCATTTGTCTCTCACTCCACACAGAGATGGGAGCGGGGTCGCCAGTACAGGAGGCACATGCCAGAACTATTGGGCATATTTTTAGTGGTAGGGGAAACCGGAGTACCCGGAGGAAACCTACGCAGACACGGGGAGAACATGCAAACTCCACTCAGAAAGGCCCTGGTCCGACCGGGATTCGAACCCAGGACCTTCTTGCTGATAGGCGAGAGTGCTATCCACTCTGCCACCGTGCCGACCATGCCAAATAATAATGGCATGTGAAGTGTCCTTGAGTGTCGTGTATAAAACCAATGCATCATTGATACTGAGTGACAGTGGCTCAGATGGTAGAGCAATGGCCTTTGAGCCCGAGGGTCGTGGGTTCGAGCCCATCACGAGACCTTCTCCACCGACTAATGTCTGCTGCTGTTACAGACACTTAACCCACTTTGCTGTTTGCTGCTTGCCTTGATGATACACGTATGTGTATGTTTATGCATCAAACTGAAATGTCCTCATTGTGGGACGAGTAAAGGACCTTCTTCTTCTTCTATTATGTCTCTCACTTGGAATAAGCCTCACTAATAATATTTTCTGGAGGATAACAGCAAGACCAATAGGGAGGGACCTCAGTTGTCTATCAGGATTTGATTTGATTTTGTCCAATCAGGAAGTTGAAGGGGCAGGACTCACTGGAGCTCAACAAACGTCTCTCCATCTTCACAATTTAAATGTATCTTAAATTTAAACACCTGCAATATGTAATCTGCTGCAATGACAACTGTCTCTCTCTCTCTGTCTCCCACTCTCTCTCTGCCGTTATCTCCTTCCCTCTGTCCGTCTCTCTCTCTCTTTTAGAAAATTGTTGTATTTTGTATTTGCAAGTATTATTATAATTGTAACATTATTATTACATGTACTATTACGAGCAGTAGTAATTTATAATTAAGTACAATCAGGGCCAGGGCAGAAGAGGGTTGATTTCGATGCTGTTTTTATAACTGAGTTTTCTCTGCTAATTCTATGGTTTTACTAAGACACACACTAATAATAATAATAATAATAACAATAAAAATGATGACAATAATAATAAATAATAATAACAATAACAGTAATAATAATAATAATAATAATAATGATAATAATAATAACAATAATAACAATGATAATAATAATAACAATAACAATAATAACAATGATAATAATAATAACAATAACAATAACAATAATAACAATAATAATAATAATAACAATGATAATAATAACAATAATAACAATAATAATAATAACAATAATAATAATAATAATAATAATGATAATAATAATAACAATAACAATAATAACAATAATAATAATAATAATGATAATAATAATAATAATAATAATAATAATAATAATAATAATAATAATGATAACAATAATAATAATAATAATAATAATAACAATGATAATAATAACAATAATAATAATAATAATAATAATGATAACAACAATAATAATAATAATGATAATAACATAGTCTGAATGTGGTTCATGTCTGACAAATGTGTACATTATCTGAACGTGACTCACAGTTTGCGTCCCCCGCCCGCGGACATTCCCTCGTCACGCTCACAGCCCCCTGCACCGCCCAGGCTTACCCCACCCCCCACCTCCCTCCTGACGTCATCCCTCCCCCCTTTCCCCTCCCACACGTGTCGCCCGCCACGCACACGCAGGAGCAGCCGTGCTTCTCTGCTGTCCCACTCTCCCTGAACGCTCCATGCGTGCGCCTCCCCACCTCCACCACCACCTCCCTCCCTCCCTCCCTCCTCCACCTCCTCCTCCGCGCTTCGCCATTGTATGTCAGGGCACCAGGGCGCACGGCTTGTCCTCCGCTCTGCTCCCGGGCCAGGCGTCTCCGAGCTCCCCCCTTCCCTCACCCCCCATGCGGCCGCCTGCCTTGCCTCCCTCTCGCTGGACCTACATGTGGTGAGTCGCTTTCGGTTAATCCACCCCCTGAAACTGCTTCCTTCCACCGCGGGGAGACCATTACGCAATTCCCGATAACCGAGTCGCGATGGTTCTTGGGGTAGCTGGTGGCACGGACTCATCCAGAGGCGAAAGTTTGCTGCAGATTCTGTTGTTGCTTCCATGATTCCAACGCGTCTTCGGTGCCATTTTACGCACGGCTCTGAGACACGGCTCGGCTCTGGTCTCTCAGGTTGTCTGCTAAACTTTTTCATCAAAAATGCAACCACTACTGCTGCTTCTACTGCTGCCTCTGCTGCTGTACAAGTCAGAGGCGAAGCGAAAACGCTGCAGGAATCTTCAAACTTCTCTCTCTCTCTTTGCGCTTTATATATTTTGGGTTGAACTTTAGCCCTGGCTTTGAAATGGTTTTGATGTTTGCAAATGGATCGTCCCCAAGCCCGTGTCAAAGATAGAGAGATAAGAACTCTGTTACTACGTGAACTGCTCTCGCGCGTTTGATGGCATTTAAAGCTGGGGTACTTAACTTTTCAGTGTGGTAAATAGCCCCAATACATTTGCACGCACGGGAAGTAAAAGGAACGCGCAGAGCAGTCGCTGTTCCCAAACGTGTGTCAATGCGTTATCTTGTACGTGTAACCTTGTGAGTCACTATTTGACGATTTGGGTTGTGTGTATGTGTGTGTGGTCTTGTTTGTCTACATTTCAGTGTGTAAACGCGGATCTAAAGTGTGTGACAGAGGCTAAAAACATACATGAAAACTATAGAAGCGACTGTTTTGAGAGCTGTAGTGCGTTGTTGTGGGGTGAAAGTTACGTACCCCAGCTTTAGAAGGTCGTATGCCTCATGAAGCCCTAAAACACCATCAACGTTTACTTTAGCTGATGTTGTTGTGTTGTAGCAGTAGTCCTGTGTTGTTAATGCTTCATGCACAGTCGCAAAGCTGTTGAAAAATGCCAGGTTTTGGGACACTTTGGCGACTGAGTAAACATTTCACGTTTGGGCTTGAGTCCGCGGCGAAGCTGTTTTTAGCTCAATCCACGCTCAATATCTGCAAAGTCTGATGTTGAGAGTCCCTTCTGTCCGCATGCCTGTTTTCAAACGTCTTCCTTACAACGTGACGTCATGGACACTGCTGTTGTGTGTGTGTGTGTTGTTAGACCAAAAGTATTGCACCGAATCGGCATGATTTGAGATTTATGTTCTTTGGCATTTCTGGTCTCTCTCCCATGCTCCCTCTCTGGTCTCTCTCTGGTCTCTCTCTCTCAGGTCTCTCTTGCTGGTTTCACTTTCTAGTCTCTCTGGACACTCCTGTTTTATGTGTTTTTAAAACCAAAAGTATTACACAGAATCGGCATGATTTGAGATTTCTTTTCTTTGGTAAATCTGGTCTCTCTCCTGTGTTTTATCTCTAGTCTCTCTCTGGTCTCTTTCTCTGGTCTCTCTCTCTCTAGTCTCTCTCTCTAGTCTCTCTCTGGTCTCTTTCTCTGGTCTCTCTCTCTCTAGTCTCTCTCTCTAGTCTCTCTCTCTAGTCTCTCTCTGGTCTCTCTCTAGTCTCTCTCTGGTCTCTTTCTTTTAAACCAAAAGTATTGCTCCGAATTGGCATTCTTTTTTCCTTTGGCATTTCTGGTCCCTATTCAGTATCTCTGGCATTATTCAAGATTTTTTTTTCTTTCCACTTTGGTGTTTTATGTTTTCCCATTATAATGTTGGAGAAAATATGAAAAAATATTTTTTTAAATACCCAAAATTCACTGGCTAAAGGTTAGAGATATTTATATTTTAAATTCCATGTGTTTATGTAAAAAAGGACAACAGTCTCTGAGGACTTTACAAAGTTGTGGATTCTACAAAAACAGATCAGAGAATCAAACACAGGAAATGCGATAATAAGAAACACGTAGAAGTAGAGAGGCACCGAGTGTGAAAATTTGGGCTGGTGTTTTTCTTTTATTTATAAATATATTTCTTGGTGGCTTCAGTTTTTCTGTTCTATGGGACTTTTTTCTGAGTAGCCCACTTGAATTTAGTCTGCAGTACCACAGCGCCCCCTGTGCCCATGGGTGGGACAGCTATAAGCTAGTAATACCCTATTCAGATGTTATTATAGATCCATGTTTCTTTCTCTCTTGAATTGATCAGTTTGCAGTAAGTGTTAGCATGCTTTTTTGACAGTTAGCATTAGCCGTAGCTTGGACCCAGAAGTTTCACTCACAAATCCCACACTACAGGTCTGTACTACTCCCTTAGTGTTTTTCCAGCTCTAAAATCAGTTTCTTGATTGATTCCACCCATATGAACCCATGTTGAATCATCCCAAAGCCTTTTCTCTATATTTATCGCCACACTTTTGAATTCCAGAAAATCCCTCGCCCCCGAACGCCCCGTCAGCTGCGTCACCGCCTCCTCCAGTCGCTTCATTCACTCTTTCACCCGATCCGGCTGCATTCAAGAGCCTTTGTTTTGGTCTTTGTGGCTTCCCTGCGTACATTAGGGACACTGTGACTTTTACTGCCATATTTCTGAACTTATACAAGTATCACATTCTTTAATGCTACTTCCTGGTTCCGTTCTCTTAAAGCTCTTGAGCACGTGGGAAAAGTCCAAAGTTGCTGCTATCAAATCTGGATTTACTTTTCATAGTTTCTGTGCGTCTCCCATGAGTGAAATGTGAACTAGAGGCCACCACCGGTACTGCAGCCAAATTGGTCAGAATGCTCACATGTCCCTCTCTGGTCTCTCTCTTCTGTGGTCTCTGTGGTCTCTCTCTGGTCTCTCTCTGGTCTCTCTCTGGACTCTCTCTGGTCTCGCTCTCTGGCCTCTCTCTCTGGTCTCTCTCTGGTCTCTCTCTGGTCTCTCTCTGGACTCTCTCTGGTCTCTCTCTCTGGTCTCTCTCTCTGGTCTCTCTCTCTGGTCTCTCTCTGGTCTCTCTCTGGTCTCTCTCTCTGGTCTCTCTCTGGTCTCTCTCTGGTCTCTCTCTGGTCTCTCTCTGGTCTCTCTTTGGCCTCTCTCTGGTCTCTCTCGCTGGTCTCGCTCTCCCTCTGGCCCTGTGGAAGTAGAACCAGTGCACACCTACTGCACAAGACCAGGAGAACCAGAGCTGTAAAAAAACACTTTCATAGTCGAAGAAGATTGGATTTACCCCTGACAGACTGTACACAGATGGACAGTGCTAACACACTAGCTCATTGAAGGCCAATAGGGAAGTGCTCATGGACGATGTTTTGCTCCCCCCAATTGCTCTGGCTTCTGTTGACTTACATGTACAAGTATGTGTGTACATGTTCAGTGTATTATAATATGTAGCAGTAGCAGCTGCAGCAGTAGTAGCAGTAGTAGCATTAGTAGTAGTAGCAGCAGTAGCAGCAGCAGCAGTAGTAATAGCAGTAGTAGCAGTAGAGGCAGCAGCAGCAGCAGTAGCAGTAGCAGCAGCATGTCGCATTGATAAGGCTTTTCTTAAGGAACACTGGTGCTGCGTCCTGCTCCAAAAATGATGAGCTTTCAACCGTTGTGTGTAGTTTGTCTAAAGGTGTGTAGTGTGTGTGTGTGTGTGTGTGTGTGTGTGTAGTGTGTGTAATAGACCTATGCGCAGGGCTCTGGTGTAAAGGTGCCTCGGCCCTGTGTGCTGCAGCCTCCAGGCGTTTGTCAGAGAGATAGAGACGTTTGTGGTCCACGGAAAGAGCAGAAAATGAAGGGAGGGTGGGGGAGAGAGAGAAGGAGAGGGGAGAGAGAGGAGGGAGGGAGGAGGGAGAGAGAGGAGGGAGGGAGGAGAGAGAGGGCAGAGAGAGGAGGGAGGGAGCGCCACAATATTATAGTCTAGTATAATGAAGTGAGAAGAAGAGTACAGTACATTCAGAATGGACTTTTCACAGATTCTAGTTATTTTCTCCTGTAATTTTACACACACACACACATTTACACACTTGTTCATATTCTATTACACCTTCCTCTGGCCACACCCACTCCCACACACTACTTTTAAGTGATCTTGTAGGGCTTTCGGTTCCTTAGTCTTCTGTGGTACATGTGCCTCTCTGGTCTCTCTCTCTGGTCTCTCGCTCTCTCTCTGGTCTCTTGCTCTAGGGTCTCTCGCTCTGGCCTCAGGTCTCTTCTCTCACTCTCTCTGGTCTCACTCACTCTCTCTCTGTTCTCTCACTCACTCTCTCTGTTCTCTCACTCACTCTCTCTCAGGTCTCTATCATTCTCTCTCAATTCTCTCTCTCTCTCAGGTCTCTCACTCTCTCTCAGGTCTCTCTCAGGTCTCTCTCATTCTCTCTCAATTCTCTCTCTCTCTCAGGTCTCTCACGTCTCTCTCAGGTCTCTCTCTCACTCTCTCTCAGGTCTCTAACTCTCTCTCAGGTCTCTCTCTCACTCTCTCTCAGGTCTCTCTCTCACTCTCTCTCAGGTCTCTAACTCTCAGGTCTCTCACACTCTCTCTCACTCACTCGTCACAAAGACAGACAGAGGAGGAGCAGAGTCTGACCTAAATCTGCTGCTACTTCTGCTTTTTATTTATAGACTTAAAGAGATGAGCGTTAGCAACGATTACAAGAGTTCTGACTCAAAACTCAGTGTGATTCAAGTGTGGTCTCTCTCTCTCTCTGGTCTATCTCTCTCTGGTCTCTCTCGCTCTCTCTGGTCTCTCTCTGGTCTATCTCTCTCTGGTCTCTCTCTCTCTCTCTGGTCTCTCTCTCTCTCTCTGGTCTCTCTCTCTCTCTCTCTCTCTCTCTGGTCTCTCTGGTTTACCTCTCTGTGGTCTCTGCTCTATCTCTAGTCTCTTTCTCTGATCTCTCTCTGGTCTTGCTCTGGTCTCTCTCTCTGGTGTCTTTGGTCTCTCTCACTCTCTGGTCTCTCTCTCTGGTGTCTTTGGTCTCTCTCGCTCTGATCTCTCTCTCTAGTTTCTCTGTAGTCCCTCTCTCTCTCTTCCCTAACTCCACTTTACAATGCTATCCCATGATGAAGACATTGAGTCAGCTGGTATTGGTAAACAGCTGGTTGCCGTGGCAGCAGCTGTGTAGTAAACAATCGTCATAGTGATGATGTGTTTATCCGGCGACTCGTTGGAGAAAGTATTGATACTAATTACATTCCACAAACAAGTATCTGGTTCTACTAGTTTTGATATAGTTTCATAAATATCACATGCTGTTTGCTCTTTCTGGT